TAACGCCCGGGCAGTCTTAATATTGTAAATAACAAGTCCTGCAGTGTTGGTTAATTTCAAATTACAATAACTTGGCTAATTATGAACATATTTTGATATTTCTTTCAGTTTTGTATTTTTCGTTTCTAAAGATATGGGAATAAGTTACTTCAGTACAGTTTACTACACAGGTGAAAGCCCGGGCGGTGTTTGTATTGCAAATAACAAACGTCTGGCGCTACTCCAGCGGGTTGTTGCGATGTTACAAAGTTCAAATAACCATAACTAGGTCAAATTTAATGATTTTTTCACCATTTTTTGATCACTACATTCATACTGTTACAAACAATGCAAATAATACAATCATAATGGTGTATAAGTGGAGACAAACGCCCGGGCGGTCAATATATCACTACCGGGCTGTCCCGGGCTGTGCCGGGCTCTACCGGGCTGTACCGGGCTATACCGGGCTGTACCGGGCTGTAATTAGAAGGACCGAGTTAGGAGCATACAAATGGTTATATCATGGGTAAATATATGTATTAGATACGATTTTAAATATGAATAATTATTCATAGGTAAAATGATAATTTAGGGGAAAACATATATTTACATGCATCTTTAATCAGTTGTGTCAATTAGAATTACTTCCCTTGTCAAACTCTCTAGTTCCGGAAATAGATTTCAATTTTGTTTACATTCTGAAACTTGATGTGATGAGTAATGATTTTATTTTAGCAAATTATTCATTTGATAACCTGTCATTCCAAAGAGTGATGTAGGCATACGGAAATATTTTGCATGAAATTGTTCTTCAGAGGCAGTTGGCTGTACTGGATGGGATACCTAAGACCGGAAAAAAACTCCAGCAGCGTGCAAAAATAGCTCAAATTTTAATCCGTCAAGTGTGTGCAACAACGAGGCTTTGTAAGTAGTCATTGTTAAATGGGTAATCTTGATAGGTAATTACATATCTGCTCAATGCGATTTCCTTCCAATCAACCTTTAATATGTAAATTGACTGGATGACGATTTTACGACGGTTGCACTCATACCAAACCAACGAGTTCTGTCGACGCAGATTACGGTAGAAGCCAAGATGACTTGAATATTTATTATTATATGTTATGGACGTGTTCCATCAAACGTACAGCCTTTGTATTTTAGGTAAATAGTTGCGCTTTAAATTTCAACCCTGACAGACCCCTTTCACAGTAAAGAGAGTTGTGTGTTCACAGTAAAGAGAGTTGTGTGTTCACAGTAAAGAGAGTTGTGTGTTCACAGTAAAGAGAGTTGTGTGTTCACAGTAAAGAGAGTTGTGAGCTAACACCGGGGATCAAAACCGCGGACATCGTAAGATGCTCTAACACTGAGCTAAAGGGAAATTCCCTCTAGCGAAAAGCTAAAAGGCAACAGTTATCATATGTACAAGTAACATCTGCCACACTTCTCGCCTTTTTGAATGTACTGGCCTTTGAACACCACAACAACCAAGGTTCTTACTCCCTGTCCCCACAGAAAAGGCTCCTGACATAATTTGAAACAGGAAAGAGAGTAGTATGCTTCCAAAGGGGATTGAACCCATGCCTCTTTGTTAAAGGGAAGGAAATTCCCTGTAGCGCAATTAAAGCTAGAAGCTTAAGGAAACCAAAATGTTTTTAAAGTTTAATATGAGAGAGCTTTTTGAGCCCACCTGGTCAGAAGGACCATGGTAAGCTTATGCCATACCGCAGCATTCGTCGTCCGCTGTCCGTCGTCTGCCATTCGTCCTCCGTCAACCTTTAATCTTCTTGTCCTGCACAGCCCAGTAGATTTTGACTAAACTTGGTCTGGAGCATCCTTAAAAGGCCAAGGGGAACCAATTTGGTATAAACAGTGGGTGTAAAATCTAGGGATTATCTCCCTTAGATAAAAAAAAAAAAAAAAAAGCATGAAAGATTGCAAAGCAGATATTGGATATTTCAATCTTACCACATTACAACCTAAGTTTATATTTGGACAAAACATTATAAGACAAAAATTTATTTTTTTATTTTTTATTTGTTTATTTTCAAAGTATTTTTCACATTACAATAACATATACATTTCATTATACATAATGAATTCCACCTTCACACATACTTTCATACTAATTAATATTGCTCTTTTTGTAAGTGGTATTTTATTTTTTTGTAATGTTATATTAGAAAGGAAGGAAAATCAGATAAGTGAAACAAGAAAACAAAGAAATAGAGGAAATAAAGATAGGTAAATGGACAGAAAGAAAGACAGACAGACAGATGGAAAGATAGACAGACAAGAGGAGAAGTACCAGTATTAAACAAACCAATTTAAAGGATAGAAGTCTGGTAATATATAGGTGTCAGTAGCTAAGTAATTAAGATAATACATTGAATGTTTAAATTTTGTCTCTTTTTTTTTCCAAATAAATTTAAATTAGATCAAACATATAAACAATCGGCAAAATGTAGGTGTAGGAAATATCAATGACAAAAATGATTTATTATATACTTAAATTTATTTATTTGAGAATCTGGTTTTGAGGACTTTAATAACATAAAACTTGTGAATATAATTTCAAAAAGTAGTTTTTATTTGTAGTAAACACATGATTTGATGACAGATATCAATGACTATAGAATCTAGCTATATACATGTTTATATATTTTAAACATTTTATTTTCTGCAGAGAGTTTCCTCAAGGATGGCATCTAGTGAAGAACCACCACCTACAGAACAGAAAGAAGATGCAATGAATTCAAATTCTGAAATTCCTCTTCAGAATGATGAGCTTCAGACAAACAAAGATGATGAAAGAAATGAACTTTTGCAAAATTCTGTTGATGAAGAAATTACAGATGGAGAAGGAAATGACAGCTTCACATTTACCTTACTGAAAGATTTGGAGCCTGGATGTCTTACTTTAGACACTCTTCCTGCTGAAATTCTGATGCACATTTTTAATTTTTTGGATGCCAAGTTCATAGTTGAAACACTTGGAAAAGTTTGTGTTCTCTTCAGTGATCTGTTTTGCGAGGATACTTACTGGAAGTTAAGGATAAGTAAAAGATGGCCGAAACAGTTTCCTCCAGTATATGGTAAATAAAGCAGTATTACACAATACCTAAATAACAGTTACCACATATGATCAAAATTTAATTGAAAGTTATTAAAACAATTGTACTTACGGAGTAAAATATATGATTCAAGAATACAATGTATTCTATATTTTCCTTTCTTTGTAGTATTTAAAGTATTTTCACATTAAATTGTTATTATTTTTATAAAGAATGTGAATAAATTATATCAGCACTTGACTGGGGTTGTTTGCTTGTAACAAGGTAGCTCTATTGTCAATCTGTCCATTTAAAGTATGGTGGTCTAAAAAAATATAAGGTTCAAATCCCAGTCCAACCATTCAATATTTCCAATCCTTTTACAAGAGAGGAGAAAAAAAAATTCTGATTTTCCAGAGGAAAACTTTAACTGGATGGAGGCATGTGTGGAACGTGAGGAACAACACCAGATATGGAGCAAAACTGAGGAGACCTGTGTGCACTTTTCCTACAGGGAGGGCATTTTTGCTTCTGTTGATACTGTGCATCTCATGAAGGTACTATTCACACATTCAGTTCAATGCTGAATTTTCACAGAAATAGTTTTTCTACCATATTAACTTAAAGTCCCATTTTAAGTGGAGTATTTTGGAAGACTTGTTTTATTTCCAGTAGAACTATTTCCTAGCCCATGCCTTCTTTTATTTGGATAGAAAATTTATTTTAGAATATATTTAATTGGGTTTTGATGTTTTCTTTCTAGTTTTTCAATTATCGTTTTACATCATTATGATTAGTTAAGGAATTTTTGGGGATGGGGGATGAAATTCTGGATACTGTCTTAAAATTTTACATCTGATTGGTCCTGGACAGGGAGGGAAGTTTCTGGCCACTGGATCACGAGATCGGTACCTCAACTTGTTAGACTTGACTAAATATGATGAAGAAGATCCTGAAGCCAGCAAGAAAGCAATGAACACTGTTTCCACTGACAAAAAACATAAGGTTTGTAGTTTAATAATTTTTGTTTCCGCTGACAAAAAAAAGGTTTGTAGTTTGATAATTCATGTTTCCACTGACAAAAAACATAAGGTATGTAGTTTGATAATTTATGTTTCCACTGACAAAAAACATAAGGTATATAGTTTGATAATTTATGTTTCCACTGACAAAAAACATAAGGTATGTAGTTTGATAATTCATGTTTCCACTGACAAAAAACATAAGGTATGTAGTTTGATAATTTATGTTTCCACTGACAAAAAACATAAGGTATATAGTTTGATAATTTATATAAAATATAAGGTTTGTAGTTTGATAATTTATGTTTCCACATGAAAGGAGTACCGGTATGTAGACACGGTAATTTCGAAATAACACACTGGCCATTAACACCTTCAGAAGAGTTGATGTTGAATATTGGAAACAAACCCAAGTATGTCATACATTGTATTGATAATAACTACGTAAATATGGATATAATATCATGACAAGAAAGCGGTATAATGTTGAAGCAGTCACTATTCCATTTAATGGTTCTGATCTTGTCTGTACCGTAAGTTCTGAGTTGCTAGATAATATTCAATAAAAAGTTCATTAGTATGTGCATTATGACAAGGGTGTGAATTTAATACCGCTCCTGCGCTAACAGGTCCCTACCGTCAAGGTCAAGGGAACAGGAAGAGGTTATAGGTCAAATTAATGCTTGCCCTGACTGTAACTTATAACTTATGGAATATTTTTTGTTTGCTGATATTTTGTAGGTTTGTGTTTTATGCCTTGAATAAACTTTGCATTCTTCACATATGTCTGTTTAGCCAAGGGTCAAAGTTACGAGAAACTTCATACATGAGCAAATGATGTTACACTCAAGATCCAAATCTCAGTGGGGTTATTGCCTTGTGTGGGCCTGTTTATTTTGTTTCAATTAAAATAAAAAAATAAAATAATATAGAGAGTATGAATTCAATTTTTCAGAAATGGTGACATTTGATATTCACAGTAACAAAACTGACTTTTGTTACAAAATCTGTGGTGATTAATATAACATTTACCATAATTTAACAGGGTGGTCACAAGCCAACTCCACATNTTTTTTTTTTTTTTTTTTTTTTTTTTTTACAAAGGGTTGGATCTGGTCGCTAGCATCCTACGACGACACGCTGTGTTCAGGTTCCTGGGACTGCTACATTAAGATGTGGGACATGAATGCTGGCCTCGCAGAAATCAACCAATTCAAGTAAGAGTAGATATAGATTGTATAGGGTCTCTGTTAGACTCCTTTAGGCCTTGTGTACTATTCCATGTTTGTCTGTGTTTGTGAGTGGAACAGTGAAAGTTTTATAAAGAATGCTTTTCTGATTTATTCTGGGGAAAATGATAACATTGCTGTTATCTAACTCGATTATCACAGAGTCTAGGTAACGAAGAAAGTGCCAATTGGAATAGGGTTGTACATACATGTAATATATATATATATAATGTGGGCGATAATATTGCAGTGCCAACACAAATGTGTACTTCAATATTTATCTACCGATATATACTCCCGTAATGCAATGTGAGTTTAAAATGACAATACATGACAATACTTTTTCAACTAATTCTTTTTGAGTTTAAAGATGTTGATGAAATAATTTTACAGAAATCATGTTAAGATTGAATCAATATTAACCAAATTATACCTGCTTGGTGTGATAACTCCTGACAAAACATCAAATGGTTTTGAATACACCCCTGGGGTCGTCTCATGGTTGTTTATTACAGACCTTTGAGGCAGTCGGTCACTGTGCTATCAGAATAAGGGGGTCGTCTCATAGTTGCATATTACAGACCTTTGAGGCAGTCCGTCACTGCGCTATCAGAATCAGGGGGTCGTCTCATAGTGGCTTATTAAAGACCTTTGAAGCAGTCCGTCACTGCACTTTCAGAATCAGGGGGTCGTCTCATAGTTGCCTTTTACAGACCACTGAAGCAGTCCGTCACTGCACTATCAGAATCAGGGGGTCGTCTCATAGTGGCTAATTATAGACCTTTGAAGCAGTCCGTCACTGCACTATCAGAATCAGGGGGTCGTCTCATAGTGGCTAATTACAGACCTTTGAAGCAGTCCGTCACTGCGCTTTCAGAATCAGGGAGTCGCCTCATAGTTGCCTATTACAGCCCTTTGAAGCAGTCCGTCACTGCGCTATCAGAATCAGGGGGTCATCTCATAGTGGCTAATTATAGACCTTTGAAGCAGTCCGTCACTGTGCTATCAGAATCCGTCACTGCGCTTTCAGAATCAGGGAGTCGCCTCATAGTTGCCTATTACAGCCCTTTGAAGCAGTCCGTCACTGCGCTATCAGAATCAAGGGGTCGTCTCATAGTGGCTAATTACAGACCTTTGAAGCACTCCGTCACTGCGCTATCAGAATCAGGGGGTCGTCTCATAGTGGCTAATTATAGACCTTTGAAGCAGTCCGTCACTGTACTATCAGAATCAGGGGGTCGTCTCATAGTGGCTTATTACAGACCTTTGAAGCAGTCCGTCACTGTACTATCAGAATCAGGGGGTCGTCTCATAGTGGCTAATTATAGGCTTTTGAAGCAGTCCGTCACTGTACTATCAGAATCAGGGGGTCGTCTCATAGTGGCTTATTACAGACCTTTGAAGCAGTCCGTCACTGCGCTATCAGAATCAAGGGGTCGTCTCATAGTGGCTAATGACAGACCTTTGAAGCAGTCCGTCACTGCGCTATCAGAATCAGGGGGTCAGTGACTAATTACAGACCTTTGAAGCAGTCCGTCACTGCGTTATCAGAATCAGGGGTCGTCTCATAGTGGCTAATTACAGACCTTTAAAAAGTTAGGCCTGTATAATCATGGTCGCTTGTCAGGTTAGGCAGGGAGTCGCTTAATACAGACCAGTTATATACCTAGTAAATAGTGTTGAGCGGTCTTATGTACGGTCACATAAGACTGGAAGTCCTTATAAACAGGGGTTCATACAGGCAGTTTAGACTGAATATCATTGAAGCTTGCTGAACTGATGCTTGCTTTTCTTACGCTCTGTATAAAATCCTTATAAATAAACTAAATTTCTAGGACTACAATGTGTTGTGATATATTTCAATATTCTCAAAATATGAGAATTGCTTGCAATGCCCACCTGTAGTAATACACAAAACTTGTATAATGCTTGATCTGGTTATAGAAAAAGAATATCTAAATTACTTTTCATAAAATAATCTGAAACTGCAACAAGTTTGATGACATTATGGCAAAGAAATGTACAGTAAAACAGTGCAGAATGAATTACTTACTGTTCATTTGAGAGTGTCAAGTTTAAAAGTGATTTCAAAGAGATGTAGTTTTTAAACACCAACTAAAATAGCTGAAGATTTACAAAAGGTTGTAAGACTGTCTCACAATTCTGACACTGATTTGTACAATACTCTTACTTCATTGTACAAATATTTGGATGAAAAATTACATTTCGCCGAGTGTTAGTTCTGCCCATCAGGGAAAAGAATATATGCTGTATAGTAATTAACTCTTTATTATATATGTTGCCTTGATGGATTTGACAGAAGGCTAAAAGGGTGAAAGTTAATCTGCTTCCAGTATTTCCCATTAATCCAGTGTATTTTATACAATCATATTATATATCTGCAGCTTTACCGAGTTAAAGGTCAGGTTTTATACAGGTTCTGGATAACACATGGTTCAGATTACACATATTTCCGATTGGACTTTTACAGGTGCAAGTCTGCCATACTTGGCCTCCATGCCGAGCCCAATTGGCTTGTGGGTGCCGGATACAATCAGTTTCTTTATATGATTGACCCTCGATATGGAACTGGCCAGAAAAAGAAGTTTCACCGCCGACCGGTTCTGTGTGTTGTTGCCGATGATAAATACATCATTAGTGGCAGTGAGGATAAAACCATGGCGATTTATGATAGAAGGGCAGCTCGTGTATACAAAACTATACAAGTAGGTATCATGATAGAAGGGCAGCTCGTGTATACAAAACCATACAAGTAGGTATCATTATAAAAGGGCAGCTCGTGTATACAAAACTATACAAGTAGGTATTATGATAGAAGGGCAGCTCGTGTATACAAAACTATACAAGTAGGGATACAACAAATGGATGACAGGCTACACAAATGTGTGTGCTGTTGGTTTCATCTTTGAATTTTACATTGTAGAAAGAGATTTTTTTTCTATATCATCAGATAGTGAGCTTGTATTTATCTGTAATTCTTCTCTATATTTAAGTTGAAGTGTTTTACTACAGACATAAGTTTTGGTTCTATACTATTGGGGAAGAGTGTGTCTTTATGCTTTTTTTCTCTATATTATAGACAGAGAGCTATGCTATGGACCTGAGTTTTAGTCACAACCAGCTGTGGATGGGAGACAAAGAAGGAAAGGTCCACCTCTATGACACAACACATGGCCGTTTTGAAAAAGTTGAGGTTTGTAAACAAACTGTTTAACATATATTTGAATTGTTGAAATTCCAAGGTTTTTTTATGTAAAATATATCAGTAAACAGCAAATTCTGGATTGCATATGTTGTTTAACAGATGATACTTTATCATGCAATAATAAAAAAATCTTGTTTGATTGATTTTTCAGCTTGTTACATCTTTCTATACCCCACAATGATACACTGGGATATACTGGAATCAGGTTGTTATAACCCCCACAATGAAGTTAGAGGGGTATACTGTAATCAGGTTGTTATAACCCCAACAATGAAGTTAGAGGTGTATACTGGAATCAGGTTGTTATAACCCCCACAAAGAAGTAAGTGGGGTATACTGGACTCAGGTTGTTATAACCCCCCCAATGAAGTTAGTGGGGTATACTGGAATCAGGTTGTTATAACCCCCACAATGAAGTAAGTGGGGTATACTGGACTCAGGTTGTTATAACCCCCACAATGAAGTTAGAGGGGTATACTGGAATCAGGTTGTTATAACCCCCACAATGAAGTTAGAGGAGTATACTGGAATCAGGTTGTTATAACCCCCAAAATGAAGTTAGAGGTGTATACTGGAATCAGGTTGTTATAACCCCCATAATGAAGTTAGAGGTGTATACTGGAATGAGATTGTTATAACCCCCACAATGAAGTTATATGGGTATACTGGAATCAGGTTGTTATACCCCCACAATGAAGTTAGAGGGGTTTACTGTGATCAGGTTGTTATAACCCCCAAAATGAAGTTAGAGGGGCGTACTGGAATCAGGTTGTTATAACCCCGACAATGAAGTTAGAGGGGTATACTGTAATCAGGTTGTTATAACCCCCAAAATGAAGTTAGAGGGGTGTACTGGAATCAGGTTGTTATAACCCCCACAATGAAATTAGAGGGGTATACTGGAATCAGGTTGTTATAACCCCCACAATGAAGTAAGAGGGGTATACTGGAATCAGGTTGTTATAACACCCACAATGAAGTTAGAGGGGTATACTGGAATTAGGTTGTTATAACCCCCACAATGAAGTTAGGGGGGTATACTGGAATCAGGTTGTTATAACCCTCACAATGAAGTTAGAGGGGAATACTGGAATCAGGTTGTTATAACCACACAATGAAGATAGAGGGGTATACTGGAATCAGGTTGTTATACCCCCCACAATGAAGTTAGAGGGGTTTACTGGAATCAGGTTGTTATAACCCTCATAATGAAATTAGAGGGGTATACTGGTATCAGGATGTTAATAACCACCACAATGAAGTTAGAGGGGTTGACTGGAATCAGGTTGTTATAACCCCCATAATGGAATTAGAGGGGTATACTGGTATCAGGTTGTTATAACCCCCATAATGAAATTAAAGGGGTATACTGGTATCAGGTTGTTAATAACCCCCACAATGAAGTTAGAGGGGTTTACTGGAATCAGGTTGTTATAACCCCCATAACGAAATTAGAGGGGTATACTGGTATCAGGTTGTTATAACCCCCATAATGAAATTAGAGGGGTATACTGGTATCAGGATGTTAATAACCACCACAATGAAGTTAGAGGGGTTGACTGGAATCAGGTTGTTATAACCCCCATAATGAAACTAGAGGGGTATACTGGTATCAGGTTGTTAATACCCACCACAATGAAGTTAGAGGGGTTTACTGGAATCAGGTTGTTATAACCCCCATATTGAAATTAGAGGGGTATACTGGTATCAGGTTGTTAATAACAACCACAATGAAGTTAGAGGGGTATACTGGAATTAGGTTGTTATAACCCCACAATGAAGTTAGAGGGGTATACTGGAATGAGGTTGTTATAACCCTCACAATGAAGTTAGAGGGGAATACTGGAATCAGGTTGTTATAACCACACAATGAAGATAGAGGGGTATACTGGAATCAGGTTGTTATACCCCCCACAATGAAGTTAGAGGGGTTTACTGGAATCAGGTTGTTATAACCACCATAATGAAATTAGAGGGGTATACTGGTATCAGGATGTTAATAACCACCACAATGAAGTTAGAGGGGTTTACTGGAATCAGGTTGTTATAACCCCATAATGAAATTAGAGGGGTATACTGGTACCAGGTTGTTAATAACCACCACAATGAAGTTAGAGGGGTTTACTGGAATCAGGTTGTTATAACCCTCATAATGAAATTAGAGGGGTATACTGGTATCAGGATGTTAATAACCACCACAATGAAGTTAGAGGGGTTGACTGGAATCAGGTTGTTATAACCCCCATAATGAAATTAGAGGGGTATACTGGTACCAGGTTGTTAATAACCACCACAATGAAGTTAGAGGGGTATACTGGAATTAGGTTGTTATAACCCCCACAATGAAGTTAGGGGGGTATACTGGAATCAGGTTGTTATAACCCCCACAATGAAATTAGAGGGGTATACTGGAATCAGGTTGTCTGTCCATCTGTCTGTCTGCCTGTAAATACAATCTTGTATGGGCAACTCCTCCTATAGTTTTCTACTGGAATTTGATGTAATTTCAAATAGGTAGTAAACACACTGACGTTTTGCACATGCAATTTAAATTTTTAACTGTCCATGTTTATGTGAGTTATACTCCTTTTTACAAAAGTAAGCCATCTTGGGATAGCAGGATGTCAAGTACAAAAAGAAGGTCACTGTGGCCAATGGTTTGTTTTTTGGCATGTCTTCTATACAATTTTACCTGGAGAAGCCATATTTGGTATGCAGGAAGGTGCAGATTACAAATCACCTGTAACCTATATCCTGAGATCGGCGTACTTAAAAATCATTAGTGGTGGGGAACTATGAATTGCCTTGTCCTTTTAAAAATGTTCTCAAAGAACTATTCCTATAGTTCTTGGGGCAGACAGTATGTCTGAAACCAAGCATTTTAATGAACACCATTACATCCCATATATTGAAATTATTGATAGTGATGATCCAGAAAATTGATTTTAATGTGATAGATTAATGTACAGTGTACTTGGTTGACATGTCAATAGCTTAGTGAGACTTAATGATATTCATATATTTGACTTTGATCTGTAAACAATTGCTTGGAATCAATTTAGTTGAATTATTAATAATTTTGCCAACCAATCTTTGCTGACAGCATGCAAAATGTGACTTTTCATCATTGCTGTAAACATTACTTTTTCATGGTATTGGAAATTAAAAAGAACAAAAAAAGAAAATATTGCGGTTCACAAGGGTCAAATATGTTAAACTCTTCAAACGTCTTAATAACCAAAAGGCCCAGGGTACTGCTATTGGGCCTGTAGCATGCTGGGATGAAGTGCTACAAAGTTTGTTCAAATGAATGACCTTGACCAATTTTCAAGGTCACATGGGTCAAATGTCTTAAAATCTTCAAACGACTTCTTCTCAAAAACCAAAAGGCCTCTGGTGATGATATTTGGCCAGTAGCATGCTGGGATGAAGGGCTACCAAGTTTGTTCAAATGAATGATCTTGACCTACTTTCAAGGTCACAGGGGTCGAATGTCTTTAAATCTTCAAATGACTTCTTCTCAATAACCAAAATACCCAGGGTACTGAAATTGGGCCTGTAGCATGCTGGGATGAAGGACTACCAAGTTTGTTCAAATGAATGACCTTGACCAATTTTCAAGGTCACATGGGTCAAATGTCTTAAAATCTTTAAACGACTTCTTCTCAATAACCGAAAGGCCTCTGGTGATGATGTTTGGCCAGTAGCATGCTGGGATGAAGGGCTACCAAGTTTGTTCAAATGAATGATCTTGACCTACTTTCAAGGTCACAGGGGTCGAATGTCTTTAAATCTTCAAATGACTTCTTCTCAATAACCAAAATACCCAGGGTACTGAAATTGGGCCTGTAGCATGCTGGGGTGAAGGACTACCAAGTTTGTTCAAATGAAGGACCTTGACCCACTTTCAAGGGCACAGGGTCAAATATGTTAAAATCTTCAAACAACTTCTTTTCAATAACCAAAAGGCCCAGGGTACTGATATTCGGCCTGTATCATGCTGGGATGAAGGGCTACCAAGTTCGTCAAATGAATGACCTTGACCCACTTTCAACCTAATGTCTTTGTTCGACATTTAAGGTCACAGGCATCATATGTTAAATCTTTTAATAGGTTCTTATGAATGAAACACTGATATTCTGCCTGTAGCTGTATTTTAGTCAACTTTTAAGATTACAAGTTTGAGATTAATACCAGGTGAACGATGCAGGCCCATTAGGCCTCTTGTTTAAGTAAAAAATAAATGGGAAATGACTAGTTTACTAATTATAAAAATTCACAGTGATTTGTCAAAACAATTGAAAAATGATTTAATGGCCTGTTTAGAAGCCTATGCAACAGTTACACTAATGATAGGCCTATGTAATGTTAGATGCAATTTCAAAGCTGATACGCTGTGATTTTGGATCATATGATATGGTACCAATGTTTAGACCGATTCCCAGCACTGCTGTTAACCTTGTGAGTATTGTTGTCAGTCCTATGACGTTGGCCACAGCGGGAAGGTTACGGGGGTACACTACACAACTGGAGCTCTATTCACCTGCTCCACAGACAAAACCATAAAAGTCTTAGAGCCGAACAGAAACCCTGGAGTGATCACCACGCTGGACTCTCACAGGGGAGAGGTAGCCAGGGTAAGTAGTCATTTCTGTACTGGTCTTATTAGCCCTGAAGTCAAACAGAGGAGAGGTAGCCACGGTAAGTAGTTATTTCTATACTGGTCTTATCGGCCTTGAAGTCAAACAGGGGAGAAGTAGTCACGGTAAGTAGTTATTTCTATACTGGTCTTATCAGCCCTGAAGTCAAACATGGGAGAGGTAGCCAGGGTAAGTAGTCATTTCTGTACTGGTCTTATTAGCCCTGAAGTCAAACAGAGGAGAGGTAGCCACGGTAAGTAGTTATTTCTATACTGGTCTTATCGGCCTTGAAGTCAAACAGGGGAGAAGTAGTCACGGTAAGTAGTCATTTCTATACTGGTCTTATCAGCCCTGTAGTCAAACAGGGGAGAGGTAGTCACGGTAAGTAGTCATTTCTGTACTGGTCTTATCAGCCCTGTAGTCAAACAGGGGAGAGGTAGTCACGGTAAGTAGTCATTTCTATACTGGTCTTATCAGCCCTGTAGTCAAACAGGGGAGAGGTAGTCACGGTAAGTAGTCATTTCTGTACTGGTCTTATCAGCCCTGTAGTCAAACAGGGGAGAGGTAGTCACGGTAAGTAGTCATTTCTATACTGGTCTTATCAGCCCTGTAGTCAAACAGGGGAGAGGTAGTCACGGTAAGTAGTCATTTCTGTACTGGTCTTATCAGCCCTGTAGTCAAACAGGGGAGAGGTAGTCACGGTAAGTAGTCATTTCTATACTGGTCTTATCAGCCCTGTAGTCAAACATGGGAGAGGTAGCCAGGGTAAGTAGTCATTTCTATACTGGTCTTATCAGCCCTGAAGTCAAACAGGGGAGAGGTAGTCACGGTATGTAGTTATTTCTGTACTGGTCTTATCAGTCCTGAAGTCAAACAGGGGAGAGGTAGTCACGGTAAGTAGTTATTTCTGTACTGGTCTTATCAGCCCTGAAGTCAAACAGGGGAGAGGTAGTCACGGTAAGTAGTCATTTCTGTACTGGTCTTATCGGCCCTGAAGTCAAAGTTTGTAATGTTTGCTGGCAGTCAAAAGTTAGAATCAAGAGGCTTCATTGTGCACACGCATTGAGAGAAATGCAATATCATTGCACCTGTGTCTTATATACTGTACCTGTCTCAAATCATTCTTAGAGTTCCTTGTCCAACTCTTTTAATTAATTCATGGGGGAAGTTTTTCTTTCTTGTGTCATATTTTACATAACCTGAGTCAACAGTTGAACTTGAGGCATGTTTTCACCTCATTAATAGGAAATGGTAGGTATTATTTATGAGCAGATTTTACTTCAGTTTATTGTCTTAGGAAGTACATGTCAGGTTACTGTAAAAAGAAGCAACCTGTAGGTTGATCCTGTGGCTTAGCTTATACAGTGCTTTGTTTTGGTTTGCATCTGGTGAAAAGTTCATTTGGTTTCACATTGTGATGCTTTCTTCGTAACCTATACATGTAGCCATATTTATATATATAGGTACATTTAGTACCTTATTTTGGCTTTAGTGTGGAGCAAGCAAGGAAAGTAATAGGTTATGTTACTTGACCAACACAATTAAACAAAAGTGTTAAATGTTTAGTTCCTGCTGTATGCTTGAGGTTAAGTTAATACTTTATACCAGGAAATTTTCACTCAGCCAAACTTTTGCCCTTCACCCATGAATTCAATTTTCGTCTGTGTTAATTTTCGCCCTTCACATTTACAATTACTATGTTTATGTTGTTGTTAACTCGTATTTCAAAATTTATATATTCACCCTTATTATGGAGGGTGAAAAGGCAAAAATCAAACTGCAGCGAAAATGTCCAGGTATACAGTAGTGATAACGTACACTTAAACACATATAATACAGTATCTAGTAATACAAACTCATGCACTTGTCATGTGTAACTAGTGTTCAGTTATGATGTCACAATTAGCCAGATGACATCATCATTTAATATGACTTAAAACACCATTATTTTCTCTTTGTTTATGTGATAAAAAGAATCTTGTTTTTGTTTCCCCTTCCATTTGTTGTCTAGAACTTTGTATTTGATCTCAGAATTATTTCAGAAATCTTATATGAAATGGACAAATTATCTTAAATATGCTGTTTATGTATAATAGATTTTTGGTTTTGGTTTTCAGTTGTCATACCAAAACGGAACTTTGGCCAGTGCAGGAAGTGATGTAACTGTTCAGGTGTGGATACCAAAAACAATCTACCAGGCCTACCACAGCTGATAACAATCTATCAGGCCTACCACTGCTGATAACAATCTACCAGACCTACCACAGCTGATAATTATAACAATCTATCAGACCTACCACAGCTGATAACAACCTACCAGACCTACCACAGCTGATAATTATAACAACCTACCAGCCCTACCACAGCTGATAATTATAACACCCTCCCAGTCCTACCACAGCTGATAACAATCTACCAGGCCTACCACAGCTGATAACAATCTACCAGCCCTCCCACAGCTGATAATTATAACAACCTCCCAGCCCTACCACAGCTGATAACAATCTCCCAGCCCTACCACAGCTGATAACAACCTCCCAGACCTACCACAGCTGATAATTATAACAACCTCCCAGACCTACCACAGCTGATAACAATCCACCAGACCTACCACAGCAGATAACAATCTACCGGGCCTACCACAGCTGATAACAATCTATCGGGCCTACCACTGCTGATAACAATCTACCAGCCCTACCACAGCTGATAATTATAACACCCTCCCAGCCCTACCACAGCTGATAACAACCGACCAGACCTACCACAGCTGATAATTATAACACCCTACCAGACCTACCACAGCTGATAACAATCTCCCAGGCCTACCACAACTGATAACAATCTACCAGGCCTACCACAGATGATAACAATCTATCAGACCTACCACAGCTGATAACAATCCACCAGACCTACCACAGCAGATAACAATCTACCGGGCCTACCACAGCTGATAACAATCTACCGGGCCTACCACAGCTGATAACAATCTACCAGACCTACCATAGCTGATAACAATCTACCAGACCTACCACAGCTGATAACAATCTATCAGACCTACCACAGCTGATAACAATCTATCAGACCTACCACAGCTGATAACAATCTACCAGGCCTACCACAGATGATAGCTTGTAGTGACTTGGACTTTGTGGATATTGTAGATACTGAAGTACTATCGCAGCACAGGTGAGCATAGCATGTAGTCAATAGAGACACTTTTATTCACATTCACTAAAGCAAGTAAATCAGGCTACCAAAGTAACAAGTAGATTATCTAGGTTAATGGTATTTATAAATGGGTCGTTGGACCAAATACGACTTTCTGTTGGAGAGAGCACCTCTATCAAAAACCACCTGCTTTTAGAGACCACTTTTAAAATGACCACTTACAGTTATTTCCTTGTTAACTGATTTACTATTTAGAGACCATCTGCAAAAGTCCACTTTTTGGACTTCTGAAAGTTGGTCTCTTAAGCTTTATATGAATTAAAATTGACTATGTATTTTTGAATTTTAAAATACTTCCTAGTCATAATATTAAAACAAGAAACATTTTCTGTATGTGAAACCGACAGCTGTATTTGAGTAATTTTCCCTCAGGAGCCATCTCACTGAGCTTCAATTGATATTGGCTTGGTAAAGATAAAAGGTTCACAAAAACAGTAAGTGTTCAAATATATATACAGAAAAAAACTGCTTTTCTAACAGAATCGAACAAAAACATGAAATGTCAGGTAAACGTTTTGATCTTTACCCTGCCCATCCTGTTTTGTTGGCATTTTCTGCAACTGCTAACGCAAGCTGGGTAATATTTTGAATTTGAATTTGTAAGGAAACCGACAAATGTTTCTTCTCCTTTTCTAGTATTTTTCATACTTCAAAAAAATATGGACAATCATTATTAACTATGTATACAAAAGCTGAATAGTAGATGCTAGAGTACAGTTAATAAAAAAGTTAAAAGATATATAATAAATGTATAGACATATATTTCTTTATAACAAGTATCTTTGAACTTGTTTCCTATCACCAGATAGTTCACTATTCATGAACTAAGTTGTGCCGCTGCAGTCACAATTTATCAAGAGTACCCAAACCATCCTTCTATAGATATGTTTATGGTTTCCAGACCCTCCTTTTATAGATATATTTATGGTTTCTAGACCCTCCTTCTATAGATATGTTTATGGTTTCCAGACCCTCCTTCTATAGATATGTTTATGTTTTCCAGACCCTCCTTTTTTAGATCTAGATATGTTTATGGTTTCCTACCATCCTTCTATAGATATGTTTATGGTTTCCAGACCCTCCTTCTATAGATATGTTTATGGTTTCCAGACCCTCCTTCTATAGATATGTTTATGGTTTCCAGACCCTCCTTCTATAGATATGTTTATGGTTTCCAGACCCTCCTTCTATAGATATGTTTATGGTTTCCAGACCCTCCTTCTATAGATATGTTTATGGTTTCCAGACCCTCCTTCTATAGATATGTTTATGGTTTCCAGACCCTCCTTCTATAGATATGTTTATGGTTTCCAGACCCTCCTTCTATAGATATGTTTATGGTTTCCAGACCCTCCTTCTATAGATATGTTTATGGTTTCCAGACCCTCCTTCTTTAGATATGTTTATGGTTTCCAGACCATGTTTTGTGGTCCTCTTCAGCTACATTTAACAAAACAACAAAGTTAACATAATTTCTACCTATGGCATGAGGAGAAACTTTCTTTATTTTGGACCAAAGGTCAATAATAAAGGTCAAAATAGCCAATTACAGTGAAGGCATTTCCTTACTTTTAATGTAGAGTATCTTTCCTTACTCTTATGTTGAGTATCTTTCCTTACTCTTATGTAGAGTATCTTTCCTTACTTTTATGTCGAGTATTTTCCCTTACTCTTATATATATGTAGAGTATCTTTCCTTACTCTTATGTAGAGTATCTTTCCTTACTTTTATGTAGAGTATTTTTCCTTACTCTTATGTAGAGTATCTTTCCTCCTAGGAATCTTCACAGGAAGATTATCTATGTGAAGAATTGATTTAGAGTTACAAATTCAGCGATCTACATCACAGTCAACTGTTGTGCCAAAGTTGTTTGTAGAATCTTTACAGGTCACAAAGCTATCGTGACATGTACAGAAGAACTGCCAGGTCAAAAAATGTGTTCATTCAAGTAAACAGGTATTTACAAGTGATGTTGGGAGGTTGTTGGTACATCAGAAATGTATATACGGTACTAGTTTTTCTGTGACTTAAATTTGTGATTAATTTATATGTTTTCTTTTAAACAAATTTCAGTAAAAAGCAAGGTTTGGGGGATTCTGCTGATTTCAAAACTATAAATATATATGAGACTGAAAAACTGGACTAGTGAGTATTTATTTTCACAAAGGTTTATGTTCACAAGTGCGCTAAATGAATTTTAAATCGTCTAACCTCGAGAATTCAAACAGGAAAACGTAGATGTGGCAACAGACATGTACATGATTTATAGTAGTTGTATTTAATTTAGTTTAAAAATAATATATGGCACAACAAATTTACAGTTGAGTTGTTAATGTCTAGAGTGGTTGGTCTTTAGACTTATTGATATTTCAATTTAGAGGTATTTCCTGTGACGTTTGTTTATTCCTAGCTTCCTACATTGTTTAAATGAAATTGATTGATCGTTAAATTGTACATAAGCTATATAACATTATATATATGTATATTATGAGTTAAAAATAAAATTGTTATAAATATTTTTTCTGATTTTTGTTTCTATTTTATAGATCACGGAAAACTAATTTTCCTATTCCTATTGCCTATAAGAAAACAATATTACTTAGCGTTATCAAAATACAAATTTACTGTATTTTTTTTTTTATATAAATGTGTCTTGTGTTATCATGCGAGGTTAGGTAGAAAGATGAATGTGAGATACGTGATTGCACCTTCAACATTTGGTAACAGACACAGTATGCCAAAAACAGATTTAACTGCACCATCCAGCTGTTTCGTCCTTCAAGGACTCGACGCTGATGCTAAAGACCAAAAAAGTCTGTAAAACCCTGAAATAGGAAATCTAAGGGATACTGGAAAAAAATATCTTGTCAGAAAATGGATCTTAATACATGAACCTTAAAGTAATCCATGTGATACAACAAAACCTGCTACAGACATTCAACAAAAAACGGGATATTACCGAGGGCTGTTTCTCATTTCAGGAGTTTTGATACATACTTTTCTCACGATGAACGAATTGTCTACAAGCTTGAATAATTTTCTAACGATGAACGAATAGTCTTACAAGCTTGAGTGTTAAAGTACTGGGATTCACATTGAAGATGGATAAGTACATTTCAACAACATTTGTTTTGACAGTCATGTGTGATAAAAAGAAAGATGATAACTTAAAATCGTTATTTCTATTTTAAGGGATGGTAAACGTTCTCAAGGACTTGAAAATCATGAGTAATTTGTTTTTTCAATATATAGCTATAATTGTACATAGTAGTGTCATCACATAGACATAATCATACAATAATACATACAAATGTCAATATATATAACAATATATATATTGTAACCCACGGTGATAAATACACATCAATCCGCCTGAAGAAGCCATAGAAGGCAGAAAGGCCTAGCGGAAGCTCTGACAGATTTATGTTTTTATTATTTATTTTCCTTTGCAAGGACTTGTTTATTTATTATCTACTATGTATAATTATATATAGTAATTTTGTAATAAAGTCTATCATTGTAATTTGCGATGCATTCTTTATTAAAATGTATTATTAAAACATCAATTATTCAAATAAATATATTTGAAAATAATTTTCAAATTATTAATAACATCTTTTTTTAGCTTCAGTTTATTTTGAGAGACTGACTGTAACGCTGATCAAAGAATATCATTTTTTACTCTATTAATCTATTTGGGATTGAAAGGCGTTTGCCATGTACACAGAACAGCAACATCAGGAGATTCATATATTTGCCGAAGCAGATTGGCAAAGCTCAATGCGAAGTCCTTGTAAAAACATGCACACTTTGGGGACTGAAATCAAATATCATTATCAAATATAGTTTTTAGCTCACCTGGCCCGAAGGGCCAAGTGAGCTTATGCCATGGTGCGGCGTCCGTCGTCCGTCCGTCCGTCGTCAACTTTTATTTTAAACAACTTTTTCTAAATATCCAAGAGGCTCAGGCTGATGATATTTGGCCGCATGCTTTGATGAATGGCTACCAAGTTTGTTCAAATGAATGACCTTCACCCATATTCAATGTCACAGGGGGATCAAATATGTTTAAACTTTTAAACAACTTCTTCTGAATAATCAAGAAGCCCAGGCTGATGATATTTGGCCAGTAGCATTC